TATATCCACAGTCATCTGGCTGTTCTTGACTCTTCTCTCTTTCCACATCGGATACACCCTCCTCCTCATTCTGGGATGGAGTCTCCTCTACAATGATTTCTTCCAGTTGTGCCATTGCTGTCTTTGGGCTCAATCTCAGTGTCACACTTTGACTTTGAGAGTGGCTTACTGGCCTCTGTCGTGGTTTAGCTCTCAACGTTGGGCTCAGCCAGCTGTTGCGGGAGGAGTTGTTACTGCAGCTCCTCTTCTTCCTCTACAGTGACGGTCTCTAACCGATCAAGGTCCTTTTTGCTATCCTTGCCTTCTAGCTCGCTGGTTGCATCAGAGGTTACACTGGCCATGCTATTTTCACTTATACTTTTAAGTCTGTGGAACCTGAGATTCTTTGGGGGTATCTGTGTCCACCTCTGTGGTCAGCTTGAGTGGTGTGTGAGAATGTGATATATTCTCACTGGAATATCCATCTCCTTCACTCAACTGAGGGACAGTCGTCTTTGTTTGAGACTAACATTGAATAATTGGAAGTACTTTGCTTTCCTCCGACATATTTTTAGTAAGAATGGGCAAGTATTCCAAAGTCTTTATAATCTCTTCCTGAAGCTTCTGGTTACTTTCCTAGCCATCAAAAAGCTCTGCCATCCAGATCCACAACTGAGATAGCCCATGACATTCTAGAAAGGACTTCAGGCAGGACTGTGGGTGTGTTCTGAATGAACTCAAGACAGTTAAGTTTCTGCTCCAAAGTTTCAATTCTAACCATTAGCTGGGATAAACTGAGTACCTGAGAGGCCCTCTCCATTTTCCATCAGTGCTTCTAGCTCTCTATCTACTGAGTCCTTCTTTCCAGATCGCTCTTTCTTCATTTCCCCCGCTGCTGCTTGGATACAATTCTGCTTTCTCCTCCCAGGTAACCCCGGCAATTAGCTGACCCGCAGAAACATTTCTGAGCTTCTTTTCCATATCATTGAAACTGATAGTTAGATGTTAATTCTGAGCCTGATGGAAACCAACCCTTAGTTGTCCATTCACAGTCCATTTTTGGGTTTTGCATTTTAGTTCACAGCTGTGATTCATGAAATGAGAGCAATTTCCTTTCTGAGTAGTATCTATTAGCTCATCATTCTTCAGGGCCATAAAATAGAAGTGAATATTTTTGTTTCGTGCATATTCCTTCACTCGAGCTTTAAACTCTTTGGGTTGTTTTTTTTTTGAGGGTTTAATTTATTTATTTTTTTGTTGGTGATGGAGCTTGAACTCAGGACCTGGGCACTGTCCCTGAGCTTTTCCTTTTAATAACTTTTTTATTGTGAAAATACTGTACAGAGGGGTTACAATTACATGGGCAAGGTAATGAGTACATTTCTTATCAAGCATTGTTGCCTCCTCCTTTGTTTTTCCCCTACCATCCCTTCCCTCCCACCTCCACAACTATACTCCCCTCCCTGAGTTTTTTCACTCAAGGCTAGCTAGCACTCTACTACTTTGAGCCACAGGGCCACTTCCAGTTTTCTGGTGGTTAGTTGAAGGGAAGAGTTTCATGGACTTTCCTACTCTGCTGGCTTTGAACTGCAGTTCTGAGATCTCAGCCTCCTGAGTAGCTAGGATTACAGGCAGGAGCCACCAGTGCCTGGTGAAGGCTTAATTTTTGATTCTCTTCCCGGTAGTTCTTGAGCTTCCTGAGCTCTTACCAATACAGTAGAGGGCAGTCATTGGACCTCTTGTCTTTTCTATCTCATGTTCATTTTCTTGATGATCTCAGCCAATTTGTCTGCTGACAAATTTCGAATTTTATTTCCTCTAGCAAGTCTCTCAGATTCAGCTGCCTACTCACATCTCACTGACATCTCAACTTAACATTCCCAAAGTGAGCTTCCCATCTTCCCCTCAGAATCTGCTCCTCTCATCATCTCTCCATTTCTGTACATGACAACCCCATCCAAATAGGTATTCAAGCCATTCTGGTGTCATCCTTCACACCTCTCCTTTTCCCACGCCCACGTCCAGTCTGTCGGCAAATCTACTTACTGTACCTCCAGAATTCCTTTCAAATCTGGTTACTCCTCACCACCATCACTACCCCCTTCCTGGGGAGCCACTCAACTCTAAGGTTCTCTCCTCATTCACTTGGGAGTATAATAAGTCAACTGTGACTTAAGGCTCATGTTGAGGTCAAAAACTAATGCATGAAAAGAACTTATCTTAGGGTTGAGCAAGCTGATAGTGATCAATAAATGTTAGCTTTCATCATTATTCCTGCCTTTTGTTTTCTGGGTGGCGGGGTGGGATGAGGTCAAGGGGAAAAGGGTAGATAAATGAAGAGAAGGGATGAAGAATGCAGTCAAAATTCAGTGTATGCCCTACAAAATTAAAAGTGAGGGAAGGGGAGAATTGAGAGGGATGGGTGAGACTGTTAAAAGGGGTGACACCAATCATGATGCATTCTAGTCATAAACTGCTTTGTTGAGTGGTAACTCCTGCGTACAACTACTTAAAATGTTTTTTAAAAGATTTGACTAGTAAAATTGATGCCATCGGCTTTTTCATAAAACTGAAGTTTATTCTTTTATGCATAAAATTTCCATTTTTAAGATTTGAACTAAATGAGTTAAAGAAAATGAATGCATTACTATGTGGATAATTTAGCTTCTGAGCAGTCGTCCAGAAAAAGTCATAAGTAATCACTTAAAAAACGAGGTTCAAGCCAGGTGCCAGTATTTCATACTTGCAAGCTAAGCTACTCAGGAGGCTGAAATCTGAGGATCACAGTTTGATGGCAGTCCAGGCAGGAAAGTCCATGAGACTCGTATTTCAAGTTAACCAGCAGAAAACCAGAAGTGGAGTTGTGGCTCAAAATGGTAAGAATGCTAGCCTTGAGCAAAAGAGCTCAGGGAAAGCAACCAGGCCTTGAGTTCAAGCCCCACAACTAACCAAAACAAAACAAACCATACACACATACACACACACACACATATAAGGTTCCAAAGCACAAAACAAACCACACACACACACATACACACACACAAGGTTCCAAAGCACAATGCCAATTTGAATCATTAGAATTCTCAACCTTGAGTGATTTTCAGCTAATTAGGAAACTTTGGTACAGAAAAATATATTTTTTAATTCAAGGTTATATAAAATTGTATTGCACAGTAAGATACAGCTGTAGCTTTATATCTGAAATAACTTTGGGGTCAAAAGAAACTCATAAAAATGTTTCTATAATAGCAGCTGGGGTAACAGCCATCACTTGTATAAAACAGCCTCATATTGTATTAACCTGTGGTAACAATAAATCTATTATCCAACTAGTTACTAGTAATTAGAAAGATTTTTTTTTAAATGCTCAACATTAGTACCTTGTTATCAACAGTGTATACAATAGGTCTGAATTACATAGGAAACATCTCTATTAAATACTAAAGTGTATAAATTAAACACATGGATTAAACCATTGCTCTAATAATTAGAAAAATGTTTTCAGAATAATTAGCTTACTCTTTAATGCGAGGAATTTCCTAACCTATGGGAAGAATAGTATTTGAATAGATAAGAAAAATATTACTCTAATTTTATTAAATGGTTACCAAAACACAAAGGCACAATGCCTATGTGCCTCTAATCATATAAAATAATATTTATCAACAACAACTCCAAGAAGTAGAAATGAGAGGGTTTTTTTCTTCATGTTGTTCTCTTTTCTTTTTGTCTTGTGTGCTTATCTGTCTTTAGGAGAGTAAGGAGGAGAACAGAAATGGAGGGACAAAGGATGAACAAACGCAGGAGTGGTACTCACTAAACATTGTGTTGAAAATGAACTCCAACTCGTGGGTGGGGACAGGAAGCAAAAACGGGGAGAGAGTGAGGAAAGGTGTAACATTGACTGAAAAGAAATGTATTCTTTTTTCTTTTTCTTTTTTTTTTTTGTTGGTCGTGGGGCTTGAACTATGGGCTTGGGCACTGTCCCTACGCTCTTCAGCTCAAGGCGAGCGCTCTACCGCTTGAGCCACAGCGCCACTTCCGGTTTTCTAGTGGTTTATTGGAGATAGGAGTCTCATGGTCTTTTCTGCCCGGGCTGGCTTTGAACCGCCATCCTCAGATCTCAGCCTCCTGAGTAGCTAGGATTACAGGCGTGAGCCACCAGCACCCAGCTGAAATGTATTCTTTATCTGACATTTGTAACTGTAGCACCTCTGTAAGTCAATGACCTATATAGTAACACTTTTTAAAAATTAATTTAAAAGGTTACTGGAAATTATTTTTATTATTTCAGTCAGTAATTCTCTCATAATTTTGTAAATATATACATACATTCATATATACACATTTACACATAAAACATAGTATGAAAGAGCTAATGAAATATTATGAATGAAGTAATGAAAAAACAATGGTGAATTGTTTTTAGTATAGGCCTCTTGTAAAAAATTTTTTTTTCTTTTGGTAATGGAGCTTGAACTCTGGGCCTGGGCGCTGTCCCTCAGCTCTTCAGCTCAAGGCAAGCACTCTACCACTTGAGCCACAATGCCACTTCCAGGTTTCTGGTGGTTTATTGGAGATAAGAGTCTCATGGACTTTCCTGCCTGGGCTGGCTTTGAACAGCTATCCTGAGTAGCTAGGATTACAGGCGTGGAATTTTTTGAGTTTAAAAACTAGATAAGGGCTAAGGTATGGCTTAGTAGAGTACCTGTCCAGCAAGGGCTAAGGCCATGAGTGCAAAACCCAGTACATCCAAAAAAGAGCTAGAGAATAATGAACTTAGAATGTTTTAAGGTGGTGAGGGGACAACCCTAATATGAAATTTGTAGTTAGCTTTTGTCCATAATTAGTTAAATTTTGTGTTAGTCCTAGAATGATAGACATATCAACAAATTTGAATATCATATTATATGCAGAAGTTACTTTGTAAATATGAATACCATTGATGTCCGTTGTGAGATCATTTTAGGTGATGCACAAATATTTTATATTCTAATTTGTATTTTGTTTTGGTTTTGTAGGAAGTCCTGGCTGAGCAAGGTTGGAAGTCCTAGTTCTCGCATCGACCGCACAGAGTTTTCGAATGAGAAAACTATCTCTAAACTGGAGTACTCTAATTTTAGTATCCGATACTAAGGAAAGAGAAATAAAAGTTGTAGTTCTTACACTGCAAGATAACTGTCTGTATTCTAAGTCTATATTTTAGAGTAATAATTGCAGAGTAGGATTAAAAAGGGGAACTCTCTGTTCTTATAGCTACAGAATTATATATGGCTAAACATGTCTGTCACTGGAATAAGTTTACTCAATTTTATGTTCAGGTAGAACCATAATATTCTAAGATGGAAAATGACATTATAAACAATTTCATGTGAACATTCAAGTTAAGCTTTGTCATGAAATGTTTAATTTCACTGAAAAATCACAATATACATGTTATTCCATTAGACAGAAAATAATAAAATTAACCACCCAAAATTATTTTTAGGTACTGTTGTCTGTGATAAATTTGAATGTCTTATGAATAATAATTGGCTATTAAAGTTGAGTAGTTTATTTTTTATTATATTAATTTTATGTACTTGTACAAAGGTGTTACCAGTCAACAAATCAGTTTACAAATACAATACATCTTGATCAATGCCACTTGAATAATCTGTTACTGAGTCTCTAAAGGATTTTAACCAGTGGTTAAACTAAATACATATGGTGATCAATGAAATAATCATAACAAGCATAAATAGTTTTAACATTTTGGTTAAATATGAATATAATTGCATAGTAAGCTGGACTTAATGTCTTCTTAAACTATATATTTTTTATATAGTGGATAAGATAGCTGGTGAGGAAAGCTATAAGATCTCACACTCTCCATACAGAAAGCCCAAGATTTTATCAAGAATTCTCAGTGGATGACTTATAACTGAAAAAGTACTAATACTATCCCCTAAACCTGTAATGTCATTTGAGGATTTTCAAATATAAATGATAACCAAGCCACAGAATATTTCAAGGAAAAGATTTGTTTCTACACCTTAGAATTACAAGATTGAATAGGATGGGGAAAAAAAACTGAAGAATTTAAAATGTTGTAGGTATGTGCTTGCAAAGATTCTCCAATAACTTCCAAATTGTGATAATAATGTAACCATTCACTAAAACTAAATTTTAGCCAGCTGGGTAATACATACCTGTAATCTCAGCTACTTGGTCAGCAGAGAGGAAGATCATAGTTCAAGGCCACCTTAGGCAAAGTTAATACAAGACTATCTCAAAAATAAACTGAAAAAGTAAAAGGACTAAAGACATAGTTCAAGTGGTAGTGTAGTGTACTTGCCCAGCAAGTTTGAGGTCCTGAGTTCAATTGCTAGTACAGTAAAAAACTATTTATGTGGAATTAAATACCTAAAACAAATGATGATTAAAATGGGGTCAGGAGGATCCTTGAGGTCCTGAGCACTTGTTCTCTCCTCCTCTTCTTTGTTGGTCTACTTCAAATCTTTTGGGAGTGCAGGTTGAAATTTCTGTTCTATGTATGGTACAAAAGTCCTTGCTGAATCCCACAGCCTAGAGAGGGAATCCAGGTCTCTTTACCTGCTGCATGGAAAAAAAGAGAGAAGGAGATGAAGGGCAGCCTGAGTTGGTTTGAAAGTTAATTTCACTGATAGATGGTAACAAAGATACCAAATGTATTTCTACATTTATATAGAAATAGGAACAATGTTGCATTGTCCTGTACCTAAATATATTTATTTAGGTCTACTAAACATACCTAAATAAAGGAATAAAGAGCATGCCTCTTGTTCTAATGTAGGTATCATGCTAAGCAGTACATGTATTGAACATTCCCCAGAAGAATTTATCAAGGTATTTATTCACGTGGGTTGTGCTCTCCTATTTCCTATTTCAGGTTCCCTTACCTGTGTTTGTGTTCCTTGTGTTCCCTTACATCAGAGAAGGCTTTGGAGCCAGATACCCTTGAAGAAAACTTTACTTCAAAGGTATCCTTTTAAAGAAAGCCTAGTCCTATTGGCTGAGGAGAAAGCTAGAAGCCTGGGCCTTTAGCAGGTGGGAGGGAAGCAGAAATAGTGAGAACCAGGGGGACAAAGAAGTCATCCAAAAAGAACGGTTCCTTGGAAAGGGATCCAAGGCTGTATCTTTCTTGAGTTATGGAGACCTGCTCGTTTCTCCCAACAGCACCTCCAAAGTAGAGTGGTGAGCAGTGTTGTACCCAGTGAAGCAAGATCACAAATTTAGGGGCTCCCACCTCCAGCAAGATTCTTATACCCCATAGTGCTAGCAGACATCCTACAGGTACCATGGCCCTCAGGCAGTAGTTATGGTAACTGGTTTTCTCTGAATAATACTTTTTGTGAGGGGGTAGCACACTGCGGAGAAACAAGAGTGAACTGCCCAACTCCCACACAGGATGGTGTGCAAAGGCTCCTTTTGATTTAGAGAAAATCAAATTGACATTTTTTTCCTACACAACTTTGGGAAACAAAATCTGTATTTCTCTACATATAGGAAAGTTTAGTATTTTCAAAAATATTGTCTCAGAAGTGACACTAATATATTTTTTGATATCCTTTAATAATTCTTTTCTCAGCTTTCTTTATAAGACAAACACATTTGCTAGATGAATCTTGTGACTATACAAAGTGAATCGCATTAGTCAAAATTACATAATGATTAATGCATGTCTGAATTCCATTACTGGATGGAAAATGTAAATAATGACTGAGAGTAAGTGTTCGTGAATAAGTAGAAAGCAAACAAAATACAGAATAATATAAAGTGATGCTATGGAGACCAGATAACACCTTCAATAGTTAACTTAGTATTCTCAAATTTCATCCTGCACTCCTACAGTGAATTTTAAACTTACATATCGTATTTTAGATAGGTATACTTCTGACAGAATTATTTATCTTCAGGCCCAAAAAAATTTCAGCAAAAAATAAATAAGGAATTCAGTGATTATCATCTGGGATCTTCACATGCCACAGAACCGTACCTCCCCTAAAAAAGCAACCCGAATCCCAAGGCGAATAATTTCTAAAAGCATGTTCATGATTACTTTTACATACTTATATAAAACTTCCTGTCTTTTCTGAAACCTACCTCAACATGCAAAGCTCCATGTGATCATCATGACAGGAGGGAATGACCAACTCTCCCCTGCAGGCCACAGAGGAAGACACGTGGGAGAGAGCATATGTTCTGTTAGGAAGAGAACAGGCCTCTAAGCCTGAGAAGCAGCTGAGTTCCATCTAAGTCTGTAATCTATAATGCTGAGGATCTATGGCTGGAAGAATTCAGGGTAGATCTTTGTGATAAATGACAGGTAAGCAGGAAAGACGGGAACCAACTGGTGGTGAGTGACTTTGAATAAAAATAATACATGAATTTGACTTCTGGAAGTTCACCATTTTTCCTTGTTTTTAATTGTTACTATAAAGGTGATACACAGAGGGGTTACAGTTACGAAAGTCAGGTAGAAAGTACATTTCTCTTGGGACAGTGTCACCCCTTCCCTGCTCTCGCCCAGTTTTTCCCTTCCGTCTCCTCCTAGAAGTTGTATAGTTCATTTTCAACACAGTGTTGTTCACTATTTTTATGAATAAAAAGATTTAAGTTTAAGCCAGGTGCCAGTGCCTTACACCTATAATTCTAGCTACTCAGGAGGTTGAGATCTGAAGATTGTGGTTCAAAGCCAGCCTGGGCAGAAAAGTCCATGAGACTTTATCTTCAATTAACCATCAAAAGGCTGGAAGTGGTGAGCACTAGCCTTGAGCACAGAAGCTCAGGGATAGTGTACAGGTCCTGAGTTCAAGCCCTGGGACTGGAGTAAAATAATTTTTGAAAGTGTATATCTTGGGATGTGTTCTCATAGTGAAAGTTCCCAAATTTCTGGGCTCAAGTCATCCTCCTGCTTCAGCTTCCTCAAAGTAATAGCTGGGGCTATGGTGCGTGCCACTTTATCTGGCAATGATGAACCTTGTCTTGGAAAGAAATTTTTCCTCAGCATGCATCTTGAAACTCATAATTAGAAAGAGTGGGCAAACAGAATACCCTTAAAACTGAATTTGCTTTTGAAAATGTGTAGCCTACAAATACAGTGTATTCGATAAGATGTATCCTAGCTCTATTGAGAGAGATATTGAAAAATGTTCTCTGAAGGAAGAATGGTCATATCTGAAACAAATTTCAGGAACTAAACATAGACAGCATGGTAGGGGATGGACTATTTGATGAACCAGACCTGTATTCTGGGTCCAGAATTCACTAATTCCCAATGTGCCTTGGAATCCTGCACGACAAAGTCAAGAAGTTAAACTAGACTTTTTACAGGATTCCACTGAGCTAGAGGACTCCTGGGGCCTTGTACATGGTAGGCAAATGCTCTACTACAGAATTATATGTACTCCCAGCCCTGGTTCATGGTTTTGAATAAAACCAAAGCCTAATTTTAAAAAGTTAAAAAAAAAAAAAAACCTTTAGCTAGGCATTGGTGGTTCATGCCTATAATTCTAGCTACTCAAAAGGCTGAGATCTGAGGCTCAAGGTTCAAAGCTAGCCTGGGCAGAAAAGCCCATGAGATTCTTATCTCCAATTAGCCACCAAAAAGCTGGCAGTGGAAATGTAGCTCCAGTGGTAGAGTGCCAACCTTGAGCAAAAAGTTCAGCTGCAGAGCCCGGGCCCTGAGTTCAAGCCCCAGGACTGACACACAAACAGAAAACTTTAGGAATTAAAAAGGTGGCTTATTGTATAATATTAGTAGCATTTTTCAACAAAAAAGTAGGTTGTTGTGTTATTCTGTTTGTCTTTTCCCTTAGGGAACCTGATATTCATTCTCCTCAATTAAAAATAGTATATATTCTTGGGTGTCTTCACTCTCAGAGTATGTTTTTCTTTTATTAGTTTTATTTTTCATTTGCACAATGTACTCAGCAAGTAGCAGTGGATATAACCCTCCAATATAGTGACTTCCTCTTTCATCTCCTTCTATTTCCTTCTTCCTTCTTTCCTCCTTCTCCTCTTCCATCTCCTCCTTATTCTTTCCATTTCTCCTTTCTCTCTCTCTCTCTTTAAAAGAATAATTCTTGGAAGATATATGGAAGCAAGTTGGAAGATGCAGTCTGTTACTGCATTAGAAATGTAATCCTTGCCACTCAGGAGTCTGAGCTCTGAAGACTCCAGTTCAAAGCCAGCCCTGGCAGGAAAGTCTTATCTCCGATTGACCACCAAAAATCTGGAAGTGGAGCTATGCCTCAAATAGCAGAGCCAGAAGGAAAGGAAAGAAAGCAAGAAAGTCAAGGCAAGGCAAGGAAAGGAAAGATGGAAGTAAGGAAGGGAAAAAAGGAAGAAAGGGAGAAAGAGGGAGGGAGGGAAAAGAAAAGAGAAGAGGGAAAAAAAAGAGTGCCAGAGACAGTGCCCAGGCCCTGAGTTCAAAGCCCAGGGCTGGTGTGCCTGAGTGC